AGACTTTTTATAATGTTAAGTAAGTTTATCTAAATAGTTTTTTTGATTATAAATTTTTAAATTAATTAAATGTAAATTTTTTCAGAGCACCTACTAAAATTTCTCAGTTGAAGTTATTGTTTTTTATTTAAATAAATCTTATGCTTAAGCTTTAGTATTCTCAAGGCCAGCAGGGAGTGGTTCTGGGAATAAAATAAAGGAGGATCTTTCAAAAATACTGAAGGAAAAAAAGTCCTAAAAAACTAAAAATCACCCGACTGAAATGTGTTGAATGTCTGACTGATCGATTTAAAAAAACTGACTTTAACTTGAAAGTCACCTTCTTTTGGGGGAGAGGGGTTATGATACCCCCCCCCCCTAACACACACTAAATAATGTCCCTTGAAGATCAGCTCTTATCATCAGGGGGTGTTTAAATTTAAAACTATTTTGATTACCTTAATAATGCCTTCTATTTTTACTTTCTAATAAATTGAGATGCTACATAATCATTTAATAATACTTTTAAAAGCTAAGGTTACCAGATTAGATAAATTTGTTAGCCGTAATCTAAATGTATGCAAGGACTTTATAGCTATTCAATACTTTTTAATTTAGTATTTTATAAGCAAATCTTTGAGCAGTTTGAGGAGATAGTTAAAGCATTCTTTTTAGATATTTTCTTTGTAAAATACTGTATAAACTTGACTTTTGATGGATTTTTACAGAAACTATTGACAATTAAATGTACTAAAATTTAGGATTAAAAAAAAACTTAGGCTAAGAAAAGGTCAAAAAGGTCTTTAGGGATCAAAATAATATTGAGAATGTTGAGATGCAAGAGTTTTTGAGTTTTTGAGAATGTTGAGATGCAAGAGTTTTTGAGTTTTTGAGAATGTTGAGATGCAAGAGTTCTTGAGTTTTTGAGAATGTTGAGATGCAAGAGTTTTTGAGTTTTTGAGAATGTTGAGATGCAAGAGTTTTTGAGTTTTTGAGAATGTTGAGATGCAAGAGTTTTTGAGTTTTTGAGAATGTTGAGATGCAAGAGTTTTTGAGTTTTTGAGAATGTTGAGATGCAAGAGTTTTTGAGTTTTTGAGAATGTTGAGATGCAAGAGTTTTTGAGTTTTTGAGAATGTTGAGATGCAAGAGTTTTTGAGTTTTTGAGAATGTTGAGATGCAAGAGTTTTTGAGTTTTTGAGAATGTTGAGATGCAAGAGTTTTTGAGTTTTTGAGAATGTTGAGATGCAAGAGTTTTTGAGTTTTTGAGAATGTTGAGATGCAAGAGTTTTTGAGTTTTTGAGAATGTTGAGATGCAAGAGTTTTTGAGTTTTTGAGAATGTTGAGATGCAAGAGTTTTTGAGTTTTTGAGAATGTTGAGATGCAAGAGTTTTTGAGTTTTTGAGAATGTTGAGATGCAAGAGTTTTTGAGTTTTTGAGAATGTTGAGATGCAAGAGTTTTTGAGTTTTTGAGAATGTTGAGATGCAAGAGTTTTTGAGTTTTTGAGAATGTTGAGATGCAAGAGTTTTTGAGTTTTTGAGAATGTTGAGATGCAAGAGTTTTTGAGTTTTTGAGAATGTTGAGATGCAAGAGTTTTTGAGTTTTTGAGAATGTTGAGATGCAAGAGTTTTTGAGTTTTTGAGAATGTTGAGATGCAAGAGTTTTTGAGTTTTTGAGAATGTTGAGATGCAAGAGTTTTTGAGTTTTTGAGAATGTTGAGATGCAAGAGTTTTTGAGAATGTTGAGATGCAAGAGTTTTTGAGTTTTTGAGAATGTTGAGATGCAAGAGTTTTTGAGTTTTTGAGAATGTTGAGATGCAAGAGTTTTTGAGTTTTTGAGAATGTTGAGATGCAAGAGTTTTTGAGTTTTTGAGAATGTTGAGATGCAAGAGTTTTTGAGTTTTTGAGAATGTTGAGATGCAAGAGTTTTTGAGTTTTTGAGAATGTTGAGATGCAAGAGTTTTTGAGTTTTTGAGAATGTTGAGATGCAAGAGTTTTTGAGTTTTTGGCATAAAAGGCTATTATAATTTTTCTCCGGCTATCGGAAACAATCTAACAAAAAGAACAAACATAGGCGACAGATAAATTTATTTTTATAATTTTTATTTAAATAAGTAATTAAAGTTTTAAATTAGTTATTTTATTTTCTATACTTGGAGTAAGAAAGGTTTGGTGATGCAAAGCATGACAAAAGTATTGCTAAGTTTTTATTCAATTAAATTCTTATTCATTAGCATGGATAAGAATGGCTTATAATTAATATTCAATATTAGTCTTAATACTTCTGATTAGAAGTAGAGGAAAAGTGACATGGTTGTTCAAAATAAATAGGCTGTTCTGCATGAAATTAAACTTAATCAAACAAACTATTTTTAATCAAACTAAGCATTTGATTAGATAAAGTGTGAAATGCTTAAACAGACACGATTAAAAACAATTAGACCAAGACAAATTAAACAATTTTCTATAATATATAAAGTGAGATGTAATATATAAAAAGTTTTTTTTTTTTTGGTATTAAGTGAGGAGGTATTAGATATTAAGTGAAGAGGTGAGAAGGTGGAGAAACAAAAGAGAAACTATATAGGCTTAAGTATTGATTAAGAATTGAATAAGTTCAATACTATATAACCAACATTTATGAGTTTATAAATGAAAATAGTAATAGTTGATTGGATAATACTTTTATTATTAGAGAATAATTGTAATTATCTAGTAGTAATTGTTGGATATATTTACCAGAAGTTAATGTGTGGGTTTTTTATTAACAATTGTTAATCTAACGGAACGGTAAAAATTTGGGTACATTTAAAGGAATAGTAACCAAGCGTGTAACATCTAGAGCAGTGGTGGCCAAACCACTCCATGCGGGCAAAAAAATGCCCGCAGCAGGAATGATCTTTTTCAGGATTCTGGAATTCCGGATATTTTTTAAGTTTTTTATATTTTCCGGATAATTAAATAATTTTCGAAAATACAATTTATAAAATTTTTTCTGTTTATTACTGTCATCAAATGAAACAGTAACAAGTATATATAAACAGTAAATTTGTTGTCCATAAGTTACGGAATGCTATATTTAGTTAACAAACAAAGCCAAAAAGATTAAAAGATTTCCCTTGCAGAGTAAACCAAAAATTAATAAGCATTTTAATTAAAGTTTAAGAAAAATCTCAGCGCAAAAGAGCGAATGATCTCCAACTTTTAAAATAAAATTAGCGATGCGTGTCAAACTCTTCTATTTTTTAAAAATATTGTAAATTTACATTTTTTAAATAGCTCTTTTAGCTATTAGCAAAGAGATTTCTTTTTTTATTGTTAAAAACTTTTTTTTTTTAAGTAAATCACTTGGCTTATGGAATGAAACTTTTTTCAGTTTGTTTGTCGGTGGTTCAAAATTTACTGCATCATTATTTCGTTTTCTGTCCAGTCATACCATTGCAAGTCTCTTTTCGTACACACTTCTTGAAAGTATTATTTTTTCTCATAATTTCTTATTAATTGGAGACTTTAAAAAGTTTTGATGATGGTATTTAAAACGATGGTAGAATAAACGGTACTCATAAATAAAAATTCTGTTACAAAAGCTATGAGAGAAATCAGTTTTTAATTTTCGTCAAATATGAGAAATATCATTAAATTTAAACTCTTTTGAGATCAGTAAAATCTAATTCTAGAGAGCAGTGAAACAAATAGTTCGATTTAAGAATAAGAAATTTAGTATGACCTTCAACTAGTAGAAACTTCTATTAATCTTACAGTTACTATAATACCGTGGTGTAACATTATGGTCGTGCAATACAACTTGTTTTCGTAAAGGGTGAAAAAAAACTTATTATTACTAAGATTAATTACTTTGTTAGTAATAAGTTATTTCATACAAATAAGTGTTATAATAAAACTATATTCTAAACTATAAGGATTTTATTCTATGTAATTATTTTAAAGAAATCTAAACATGTGTACTTTGACTAAAGGTCAAGTGAATCAAATTGCTTTTAAATGCCATTACTAGGTTTTTAAAAACATCACATTTTGAGGCATGTATCTAAAATATCTCTTTACTTTTTATTTATTTATTTTCTTTTTTAACATATTTATTACTAAAGATTTCTAATTTTTTGTATTTTAGAAGTCTGGTGTTTATTATTATTATTAGTTCCTTTCTATTTACTGCGATTGAAATATGCTCTGAAAATAGTTAAAATAAAATGCATTTATATTTTCCAAAAGTTGGTGTTTTACAGGTAATAAAATGTTTACTGAAAGAAGTTGGCAAGAAATAGTCTTGGATATATGTCGGTTTATTTTGTCAAATTACTACAAAAAACCCAAAACGCTCAAATAATGCCCATAAGATTTCAGTTATGGTGGCGCCTCTGATCTCTAACAACGCGTTAAGCGTTTATCTATTTGTATATCTTTGGTGAATTGAAGCAGTATTTCATTATCCTTTATGTATTTAAATGTATAAGTGCATGTCTAAAAAAATTTCCGCATTGTTTAACAGCTTTTAAATATAGTTTTCTACTTCTTCTTTGACTTTATCTTGTTATTATTTTGTTAAAATTTTATCATTATTATTATTCTTTTTTTGATGAAAAAACTATGTATTTTTTTATTCATATATACGGTGAATAAGGATACTTTTAAACTGGCGTAATGTTATAGTAATATAAAAGAATGGAGGAGACCACGCCCCCTTCCTCCTTGTTAACATCTCTTTGTAAATTCCGGATTTTTTCCGGATATTACAAAAAAATTTTCCAGATTTTTTCTGGATATTTAAGGAAAAAAAATTTCCGGATTTTTATAATATGGCCAGGATAATCTATGCTGCAGAGACTATTTTAAATGCCCATTAAACATTTTTGGATATTTAGGAGACTTTTGGTAATGTGATACTTTTATCTACCTCAAAAATCAATCCAGACATCAAAAAAGTAGTTTCAGATGGTCAAGTTGACCACTCTTAACAATATTATTACTTTAATACAAATGATTATAATAGTTATTAGTCACTTATATTTTTGTAGAAATAA